GGAAAATGGACATAAGAAAAACATATGTTCAATGGATTCTTCCGTCGTCAAGCACAGTGGACACCTAGAAGTGATTCTTAACCCTTTCAATTTTAGAATATCATCCCACGGAATAACCTGATGCAATATTCGCCAAGCCTGAAATGACAGAGGGAGTTAACACAGGACTCCAAATGTTCTTTCCCCATTTGAGCTCCTCAAAGGAATGAAGTTGATGGTAAATATTTTTTGAAATGGAACTTGTGGAAGATTTATTTTTAATCATTGTAGAATCTTTCTTTTTGTACTTCTATAGAAATAGTAGCAATAAGCTTAACATCCTCCTCTCCAACCAATTGCTGAAGGAGAGGAATATTCCATTCTCCCTGCACCCAAGTATCAGCAACTAGGAGATTTCTGAAGGACTGCTCGGTCAAAAGAAGAAGCACAGGGGACCAGGAATCATGTCAAAAGAAGATATCACCATGGCCCAAATCCCATAAAATCAGGGACTGGCCCATTCCCGGACCTGTAAAAGACGCTTCCACACCTTAGAGTCTCCCATCCGCCAGGACACCAATGATGGATTGCAATTTTAGCAATATTTATTCAGCAAAAATGAAGCCCATAAAGTGTCACATTTATGAAAATTAAGCCAAAGTTTAAAATAATTTATGTCAGTCATGTGGTGAAGTTGTTTGAAACCCAACCCCCCAGCAAATGTAGGTTTACAAACCTTCTCCCAAGTTAACCATCTTCTGCTAGAGTAGCCTCCCGCCCATAAAAAATTGTTGAAACATCGTTCAAGCACCCCTTGTGAGCTCTTCTTAATATGACAAACTTGTAACGCATATAGTGGCAAGCTTTGCAATATAAATCCTAAAATAGTAATCCGACCCCCAAACGACAAGAAATTATTCTTCCAATCTAGGATAGGATTTCGCACCATATCCACAACCTCATCAAATTGAATTTGTTTCCTCCTACCCTTAATAAGATTGACACGAAGATATTTTAGAGGGAAATTAGAGATAGAAAATCCAGTGAAGTTGGCCACCCAATCTATGTTGCTTCTCTTAACTAAATTACTCAAATAAATATGGCATTTGCTAGCATTAAATTAGAGACTGAAACCAATTGAAAATCCTCCAGAACCTGATAAATAACCCTCATCGCATTCTTAGAAGCATTAGAGAATAATATAAAATCATCCGCAGAAGCAAGGTGAGAAACAGAAACTCTAGATCTATGAGCAAAATGTAGAGAAGATTTCTTGTAAAAACGTCATTAAGTAGAGGAGAGAAATAATAAAAACTAACATGAAAATAATAGGAGAGAAGGGGTCACCCTGTTTTATCCTCCATCCAGTAGTAAAGATACTGTCATTAACAAGGATACTATAGTGATTAGAGAGAAACCAAGTGTGAATAAGTTTGCAAAAGGAGGAAGAGAACCCTCTTTCACTAAGCAACTAAGTGTGAAATACCAGCTCAAAGAATCATAGGCTTTGCGGATATCCAATTTAGTGATTAGATTTTCACCTCTACATTTTTTATCAAGATCATAAACTAGCTCTTGCGCCAACATAATATTGTCCGTAATACCCTGCCCTTGAATAAAAGCTTATTGATTTACAGAAATCAATTATTGTAGATGAGGTTGTATTCATTTCACCAGAATTTAACTAATCATCTTAGAAATGATAGAAGTAAGAGATATAGGACGAAAATGATCCCAAGTAGTTTTTTGAGTGAATTTGGGTAGCAATCAAAAAATATTTGCCCGGGGTTTCCCCCACAAAAGAAACTTTGTATCACCGCAACCACATCAATCATAACAATGCTCCTACATTTAATATAGAAATCCAAAGTAAAGTCATCTGGGCTCGGGGCTTTATTAGCGTTAATATCAGCAAACGCATTAAGTATCTCCTCCTCATTAGGAATGCCACATAGTTCTAATTCTCTCGTATACTGACGGATATCATTAAACAAATGTGTCTCTATAGTGCCAGTAGTGTCTTGAGCCTTAAACAGATTTGTGAAGTACTTTACAACGCTCTCCCCTATCTCATGTTCCCCTGTGACCCAATCTCCTACGTTATTTTTAATGCAGACAATAATATTCAGAGCTCTGTGTTGTATCATACACGCATGGAAAAACTTCGTATTCCTATCACCCTAAGTAAAGTACATCTCATTAGCTTTTTGTTGCAGAAGCTCCTCTTCCAAACAGGAGGCCTCCAAAAATTCCTTGTGAGCCTCCTGAAGTTGAGGAACCAGATCAGCAGAGATCTCATCCACCTCCTGTAAAATTTTAACCTTGCGCTCAGCCTTAATAACCCTTTTGTGGACATCGCCAAACACCTCCCAATTCCAGGTTCTGAACGCATTAGCCACACTTTTATAAAGCTTCCACAGCCGGTACCAAGCGTTCCAAACCTCAGAACAACGCCAATTTGTGGCGATCAAATTTATAAAACTCTCATGCTTAGCCCAAACATTCAAATATCTAAAGTGATACTTATATACTTTTTTGAAAAAATCAAAGGATAAGAGTAGTGGGTTATGATCCGACCCAGAGCTAAGAAAATGTTGAACCTGAGACAAGCCATAATCAGAGATCCAACTTTGATTTCCAAAGCACCTATCCAACCTTTGAAAATTATTCCCCCTCCTCCAAGTAAATTTAGAGCCAACGAACATCAAATCAGTCAGACTAGCTTCTGCCAATGCCTCACTAAACTGCTCTATCAAGGAAGAAATGACCCTAAGGCCTCCCAATCTCTCTGATTGGTGAAGGAAAATATTGAAATCTCCCCCCATTTGTCCCAAAGTTCGAACCAAGCAGGATTGGATGTGCTCCATAAACAAATGTTAGCCAACCCAAGAAATCCTCCAATTGAAAGAAACCATGCACAAGTTGGCCATCATCAACCATAATGTTAATAGAAATATGCTTCCGCCAAAAAACCCAAATTTTATTAGAACAGTTGTTGAAGGAAGAGAAACTTTTGAATTTGCCCAGTATGCCAGCGTCTGGAGAAGAAACTATAGGCTCCAATATATCAAGAATCCCAACTTTATGAATCCTTTCATTAATTTAAGTCTTCTAAGGGAGTAAGGATCTGCAACTCCCCATATATTCCAAATTAATATGTTAAACATGGATAGAAGAAATACCTTTTCAAGAAGCTCTAGTCCGAGTACAACCATGTTCACCCTCAGAATAATATTGATTAAATTCCTCCAAAGATCTTCCCCTCTTGAGATTAGCCAATTCCTTATTACCCATTTTCTTCCGCCATTCATTTTTTTGGACTTGTCATTCCTCATCCAGCAGTTTAGAAACTTCGTCCATATGTATCACATTACCCTGTGGTTCCACGCTTGGGCTAACAGGCCAAATCACAACCCCCTCGTTGTACCGAGGTGAGACAAGACATTAAACAAAATTAGCACGGGCACTCTGCCCATCAGCCTCCATAATATTCAAACCATTGTTTTTTGTAAACCCTTCGAATTGGAAGGCCTTATAGGATCAACATCGATAGTATGCAAGGCGCCCATAACATGCACAGTGGAGATAGCATCCAACTTTGGTAAAATAGGATTAATAATCAGAGTATGAACTCCTCACTATTCGTTTCCAAATTTTTATTTTGCCCTGCACCTCTCCTGCGCAACTCTGGGTGGAGATGGAAGCACTGCATAAAACCTTCGCTAAACATACGACAATGTGAACAATAGGGGGGTGTTTCTCAAGAGTTACCTGCTGCCAGTAGTCGTTGTGTTCGGAGGCAATCCAAACATCATTCGGATGGTTGCAATGTGATATCCCGCTCAATTAAGATCCTCGCCATCGAGGGTCTAGACAGATTATAGGTCGGAGCATCCAGCATAACAGGCTTGCCAAGCATAGCAGCCAAAGAGAATAGTATTTCGTGATTATATAGATGGAACTTCAAGCCCGTAAGTCTAATCCAAATAGGGATAACTGGGATCTCAGCCTGAGGATCAAATTCCACCGTCCACTTCAAACTTTCATCAATACATCATCAAAATGCACCGTTCATCCAGCAAATAACATAGCATAATCCTCCTCACTAGTAAGTTGGATCAGAACATGTCTGTCATCTAAAGCCCCAATTTTCCATTCACCGACCAATTTCATAAGCTCAAAAATGTTTACGAATGAAATCTTAGGAAGCCCATAAATAAAAGATGCATAAATAGTATTCTCAGAGTCGGAGAGGCAAACAACAACCTTACCCCTCTTCTTCCCAGAACACTTGATTAAATTGTAATCCCCGCCTAGCACCAAGTATTCATGAAACGTCGAGGGAAACAACAAATCATTAATAACACCTGTAGCACTGCCACCGGCGGTAACGCTGGCATACGACCTTTCAATTACCGTCATAGCCACCACCTACGATCGGCACCATGGGAGATTCGCGAAAGCAAACCCTAGCATAGCCAAACAAAACGCCGCCATTATATATATATATATATAATTTTTTCATTGCAAATTCTACTCAAATCAATACAATCACTCCTAATTTAAGGATTGAGCAGCAAAATTTTCTGTTTAATCTTAATTTCCTTCAAATACGAGCTTTTAATCAAAACAAACCTATTTTGAAGACCGGTTCACTGTCTGATTGATTCAATCTACAATCCAGTTTCACCATCATGCCTGCAATCTCATTTGGTTTTCGAGAGATTGAAAGAGAGAAGATGAAAAGGAAATAAAAATGATAAAAGAATCCAATTCAAATTAGTTTTCAGACACCTAAAATTTATTTTTTTACATTTATACCACAAAAGTCCTCAATCTGACGTAAAAAAATACACCTATTTTAACTTTTAAAAAGTGAAATACAATTTTTCATGCACATGTAAGATGGCAAGTATGTAAAAAATTGAAGTTTAGGCCTTAGATATGTAAAAACATAAGAATGGAGTGATTTGTATGTAAATCTTTCCAAGTTAGAAGTAACAGTGAAAAAAATGCACCCGGTTATTTTTTTTAGTTAAATTCCAATATATATATTATTTCACATGTATATTTGCATCCATGCACTCATTTCTTATGTCCTTTACATATAACACCTTTATATTTAGGTATGTAGTAGCACCTTTGTAACCAAATGCCACAAATAACAACCCAACAATTTCTTAATCTCCTTTATCAAAAATAAAATAAAATAAATGCAATCAAATACAAATTCTGTAAATAAAAGTCTAAAATTAGAAATGAAATGGCCTTTTTAAAGCTTCCTGGTGGTTATAAACTGCCCGTATGACTCTACCTCTTCTTTCAGTCTACTATCATTTCATTTTAGCCTTAGCCAAAAATACGCCAGCTAAAAGACCTGCCCAAGAAAATAAATTTTAGTGCAAAAACCCATAGATTTTTATAAAATAACACAATCTACTGCCGAAATTACCAAAAAGAATGCTCAATAGATTCTCCAAGCTTGTTGGTACTTTGAAAAGAAGTATTCCGGCCACTGAGAGAGGAATCTTGTTCAGCGATCCCACAAGGCTGCATGAATTCAACAAATGAGAAACCATAGAAAATCACATAAATTTTGAATAATTACATAAAAGATAAAAATACCCTTCAATTCATGCATATCAATATTAAATTTAATGAAAAATATGATTTAGAAACAATTTGGAGCAACTTTTAATAGCCTGGAACTAAATTTGAGCATTCTAAAACTCTGTGGTTAAATTGGAAACTTACTTAATAGTTAATGGACTATTTTGATTTTTTACTCGTTTATTTATGCGCAAAATGAATTTATCATGTAAAATTCATCAAATGTCAATGCAATTAAGTAACATGTCATACTATATGATCCAAATTTTTAACCAAAGTTTCGATTTTTTACAAGTATGTAATTAATAATGTAACAAACAGTGACAAAGTAAAGAAAAAGATAGCATTGTTATAATCTTGAAGAATGAAATTGAACAAGTTAAATGTTCACTACTTCTCCTCGCCTATATATTATCTATATAGATAGATGTTATACTTAAAAGCATCCAAAGATAATAATAAAACATAAATAATCTTCACATTTTGACACAACAAATAAAATAAAACTCAAAAGCTGCATAATTTTTATAAATTATGGATCAAGAACAGGCATACTATCATAAAACATCATGTCATAGTTTGCAATAAAACAGAGACTAATGCAGGGATATATATATTTTCAATTCTTAATTATTTTTAAACTCAATTTTAATCTGCATCTATATATATATATATATATATATATATCATTTTGAATTACCTGTAAGTAGTTGCGCTTGTCTGGTGAAGAAACCACATTGACGTGAAGCTAATAGCAAGACCAAGAAGCCCACTCAAAGTAATCACTAACCAGAATATTGGCATCTTCAAAAGAGGCCTGTCAATTTACTTTTATGGCCATAAGTCAAATAAAAAATAGAGTCTATATTAAGATATAAGCGCATAAATTAAATCATAATACTATACTAGCTATTAGCATTATGCAAAAGGCAAGAGTTTTCGAGGTCATGAAATGTACTTGGGGCTCATTTGGCTGTTTGTATTTAGGAAATGTTTTAGAAAACAATTAATTCCTTATTCACTCATTTGATGTGTAAAAAAGAAATCCTTATAATTGAGGAAGGTGAGGGGGTTCCTTGGGGGGATATGTGAAGAGTAAAGTAATGTGAATTTTCATCCAAATCCAGCCAATTGATGAATTTGACAATTTTTGTGCTCTTTTTTAAAAAAAATGTTCCCGGCTTTTTAGACCAACCATAGACCCATACTGCACAACAAAATCTTTAACTTTCAAAGCTATGTAAGGACTTACCCGTCACACCGTGGAATATATCCATAGGGTAGTAATAAAAAATTAAGAATTTAAAAATAGAAACTTCTCAAGTACAATCAAGACCCTGGTTATGCATTTATTTGATCTTTCAAGCAATCAACATCATGAACGAGTGTGTTGGTTAAAAGAAAGGATTGCGCACACCGTCATGAGTGGCTAGACAACGACAAAAAAATTGAAAAACAATATAATTACAAGCAAAATGATACCAGTAGATGCTCTGATATTAGAATTCAGATATTGGATTCAAGATAAAGGAGAATTGAGTGACACTATCTTTTAATCCTGTAAACAAAATGGTTGGTATTGCTCAAGCATTAAAGCTAGGGAATTTTACATACATACCACATAATTCTTATTTATTGACATATCTAACACCTAAAGTTTCAAATTTAGGTGTAACACTTGGTGTTACAAACTTATGCATGAAAAAATGTACTTCACATTTAAAAAGTTAGTAATAGTGGTATTTTTTATGTGAAGTTAAAAATTAGAGCGGTACGCATGTAGATATGAATGTTTAAGTGTTAAATATGTAAATATATAAGAATTCTGTTGGACGTGTGGGAATGTCCTTTAAAACTATGGGTAAACTTGATTTAACAATGTTAATATTATGAAATAATCCTTTATGATTGAGTGTGTGAGGATGGCAATAAAATAATCAGTTTTTGTAGTTTTTTTTTTTTTTCCCCTTTTGGGCAAGATAGCTTGGCTTGAATGATCGTCTTTGTTGAGTATGCTTCCAAAGTGCACAATGCAGTGAAATGTTTTATGATTCCTTTGAGCAATAAATCATCAAACTCTCATATACATTCTACATGTAATGCCTTCAACTACAAAGAAAAAAAAAACATAAATTGTCCTTAAAATGTTACCGCACGAGAATAAACAACTCTAATACTTAAGAGGATATACAATTTATGTATTGACATATCTAACACCTAAAGTTTCAAATTTACTTGTAACACTTGGTGTTATGAACCTACGCATGAAAAAGTGTACTTCACAATTAAAAAGTTAGTAATAGTAGTATTTTTTATGTGATGTTAAAAATTTGAGCGATATGCACGTAGATATGAATGTTTAAGTGTTAAATATATAAATATATAAGAATTGTGTTGGACATGACTTGATTTAACAATGTTAATATTATGAAACAATCCTTCATGATTGAGTGTGTGAAGATGGCAATAAAATAATCGGTTTTTGTATTTTTTTTTTCTTTTTTTTTGGGCAGGATAGCTTGGCTTGAATGATCGTTTTTGTCGAGCATGCTTCCGAAGTGCACAATGCAGTGAAATGTTTTATGATTCCTTTGAGCAATAAATCATCAAACTCCCATATACATTCTACATGTAATGCCTTAGACTACGAAGAAAAAAAAACATAAATTGTCCCTAAAATGTTACCGCACGAGAATAAACAACTCTAATACTTAAGAGGATATACAATTTATGTATTGACATATCTAACACCTAAAGTTTCAAATTTACTTGTAACACTTGGTGTTATGAACCTACGCATGAAAAAGTGTACTTCACAATTAAAAAGTTAGTAATAGTAGTATTTTTTATGTGATGTTAAAAATTTGAGCGATATGCACGTAGATATGAATGTTTAAGTGTTAAATATATAAATATATAAGAATTGTGTTGGACGTGACTTGATTTAACAATGTTAATATTATGAAACAATCCTTCATGATTGAGTGTGTGAAGATGGCAATAAAATAATCGGTTTTTGTATTTTTTTTTTCTTTTTTTTTGGGCAGGATAGCTTGGCTTGAATGATCGTTTTTGTCGAGCATGCTTCCGAGGTGCACAATGCAGTGAAATGTTTTATGATTCCTTTGAGCAATAAATCATCAAACTCCCATATACATTCTACATGAAATGCCTTAGACTACGAAGAAAAAAAAAACAGAAATTGTCCCTAAAATGTTACCGCACGAGAATAAACAACTCTAATACTCATGAGGATATACAATTTAAAACTCAAATAGGTATTTTTTATGCAAAAACCTGATCCAATTTTAGCCTTATAAGCTATTAATTAAATAGAGCAATATAGCCAAACGAGAAAAGTAAATGTAAAAACACTCAAAAGAAAAGAAAAAAGCCAAATCTAACGAAGATAACAAAATCCACAACGCATTAAGATGAAGTAAAACCTTATTAAAGAAAAGTAAAACCTAATACAGTATTCTGCCTAAACAAGCAGTGGAGAAAGGAATCAGAAATCAAGTTGAGTGATTTTAGTGTGGGAGGATCACAAATCAAAGTTGATGATCTTACGTTTTAGCCAGATAGTCCAATTCTTTGAAAGAAACTGTAAGCAAGATCCCCAAAGGTAAGGACAATACATTGTTGAGCAAAACCATCGAGAACTCGTTCAAGTTCCCAGACTTTGTGGCGTGTTTAGCGATATCCATTACTCTGCGCAAAGTCAACTAGAATAATAATGATTATTAGATGAATGTCAAAAGGTTCATTTCAAAAGCTCAAAAAAAAAAAAAAAAAGAATTTGAGCGATATGCACGTAGATATGAATGTTTAAGTGTTAAATATATAAATATATAAGAATTGTGTTGGACGTGACTTGATTTAACAATGTTAATATTATGAAACAATCCTTCATGATTGAGTGTGTGAAGATGGCAATAAAATAATCGGTTTTTGTATTTTTTTTTTCTTTTTTTTTGGGCAGGATAGCTTGGCTTGAATGATCGTTTTTGTCGAGCATGCTTCCGAGGTGCACAATGCAGTGAAATGTTTTATGATTCCTTTGAGCAATAAATCATCAAACTCCCATATACATTCTACATGAAATGCCTTAGACTACGAAGAAAAAAAAAACAGAAATTGTCCCTAAAATGTTACCGCACGAGAATAAACAACTCTAATACTTAAGAGGATATACAATTTATGTATTGACATATCTAACACCTAAAGTTTCAAATTTACTTGTAACACTTGGTGTTATGAACCTACGCATGAAAAAGTGTACTTCACAATTAAAAAGTTAGTAATAGTAGTATTTTTTATGTGATGTTAAAAATTTGAGCGATATGCACGTAGATATGAATGTTTAAGTGTTAAATATATAAATATATAAGAATTGTGTTGGACGTGACTTGATTTAACAATGTTAATATTATGAAACAATCCTTCATGATTGAGTGTGTGAAGATGGCAATAAAATAATCGGTTTTTGTATTTTTTTTTTCTTTTTTTTTGGGCAGGATAGCTTGGCTTGAATGATCGTTTTTGTCGAGCATGCTTCCGAGGTGCACAATGCAGTGAAATGTTTTATGATTCCTTTGAGCAATAAATCATCAAACTCCCATATACATTCTACATGTAATGCCTTAGACTACGAAGAAAAAAAAACATAAATTGTCCCTAAAATGTTACCGCACGAGAATAAACAACTCTAATACTTAAGAGGATATACGAAATCTTAACGTGCTATGTAGACTAAAAAAGTTCAGAAAATCAATCAGGAAAACCCATACAATTTACAGAAAAAACCAACAAAATGGATAACGAGATATAATATTGCAGCAAAATATTATTCAGGTAGCATGTGAAATTAATTTCCTGCTTGCATTATTTTCTAAGCCAAGCAAAGGAAAATTCTGCCTTTGTTAAATCTGCCTTGTCAATGTTCTAAAAAAGGATACTGTTAAAAAATGACAGTTTTTCTTTTTAATTATGAGGATAAAAAGGAGAGTTCCATCTCCTTTGTCTTCCAAGATTTATCTTCCTTAATGAAGAACTTCACTTCAGGTTAACAGCAGCTCCAAGCGGAACTTTTAGCACCAGGATGGTAAAAGCAATACAAATCTCCTTAAGGAAAAACGAATGCAATATAAATCCGTGCAGCACTGAACAGAGCTTCTCTTTTTAGGCCAAACTATATGTTACCGTAGTTAAGCTAAAAATCACAACTGAATGATAATTTTATTGGTGAAATTCAAAAGGGATACAAACAAGATACTTAAAAATAGAGAAACAACGGCACAAACATAAAAGACTCCTTGGGGAAAGGAATGATGGTGGTGGGTTGCATGTCAAGATAGTAGAAACGGAGAACTGTAGGTGGTACGAAGGGCATGTGGTAGCGAGGGAAAGGTGGGTTGGAGGCTGGAGAGCAAACAGACAGTTGCTAGAGCGTGCAGCAGCATGCCAGGAAAGTGGTGTGGCGGTTGGACAGCAAGCAGAAGGCTGTGGCAAGGTGTGGAAGCCAATAGCAGAGCGGCAACAAACAGTGGGTGACGGGCATCAAGCTGGACGCAGCGTAGGGTGCAGCAGCAAGCCATAACTGGACTGGGATGACTGTACAGCAAGTAGAGGATTGCGAAAGGGTGCGGTAGCAAGCAACGGTGGCTGGAAGGTAGAAAACTGCAAGAAGAAATAGCAAGACAGCTGTTTCGAGTGACTGCAATAGGAACGGAGTGGTCGGGAGTGACGTGGGAGAATGCGAAAGAGGATAGGGGAAGATATTCACCACATTGGGAGAGAGATACAGCTAGAGTACCATCTAATCCCTCGAATACAACTCTCAAAGGGAGAATGGGCACTGGCAACTGTCATAAGAAAAACACATGAAAACTGAAAAAACTAAAACAACAGAATCAGATAAACAAGCCCTACAAAACTAGACTGGATTCCCCTATGGAAAGGCGGAGCCAAACCCACATGGAAGAGCCGGCCGGCCCTCCCGTGTCTGTACCGGTTCGGTCCAGACGAGCGATATTGTGGGAGCGGGAGTCACTCCCTGTTACGTCATAGAAAGTTGCGGCTATCCTTCACACTCACGTCAACCTTCTGGGGTTGGGGAGCTTCAACCTCATCTGTCAAAGTTTTTTTCTTCTCTTAGTAGTCACGTCAGCCTCGCTAAAGATACTAGAAATGGCATCATCTCCTGACAAGTCAGTTCTCTTGATAGAATAATTATTCATCCACTTATAGCACATTTTGAACTGGAGCTACAGATAGATGTAGGTTCTAGCAATATAACTCTTGAGCCCATAAGTAGGAAACTTTCTTCTTCCACTTCTTGTGCTCAGCAAACTGTAATAGATAAAGAGGTATGTGAGGAGAAATCAACTCAATGATGAAATATGTGGCGAGTTGTGCCACTCTCACTATCAACCAGTCAGAAAAGATCTCTTTTTTCTTGAATAGGGCCTAGATCCCATTGAAGAATTTTCTTCATCATCAAACTCACAAGATAATTTTCAAAGCTGTAGTTCACCCCTCCTGTCAGAAAATTTGATGATAGGTACACTACGGAACGGAATCTAATATCCAACTAACTCTATATAATCTTCCAGACGTGGCACAAAATGGCCTCATTTCTAACATGATGGGCCTCCCTTAGTAGGGCAACTCACAAAAGATTCTATAGTTCTGAAAAGTTTGAATTTCTCTTATCTGCGGTTTTCATGCCTCCTGTGTCGGTTCCTCGAACTTAAGACTATCTTGAACAATCATGGTTAATTCAGTTGAAGACTTTCTTTTGAGCTCAACTGGTACTATGTGGATCTTTTCCTCATTAGTTGGAAGTCGGTACTCCACGTTAGTGTCCTCGCCTTCTTCGGTATCTACTATGTCATTACCCATTTTTTCAACATTCTGCTCAATAAAACAGATCATTACTCTGGTTGTGCAATCTGACTCAATATGCTCAAACTTTTGACACTTGAAATATTTCCTGGCAGAAAAGAATTTGGGAATGCTAGTTGGTTCCATCTGTTTTCCACTCAAAACTAGTGTATCCTTAGACGAGGTTAACTTGGATGTTCTCCTGGGCATACTCTGACTGTAAAATCCTAGGGTTGAACCCTACCTATAAAGTATGGTGACCATCGGGTGATGTATTTTCTCCACTTTTAACGCTGGGGTCTGAACATCTGATCTGTAGTGAGTCGGTAGGAACTGGCGCTACATCTCTTATTTCATCTTGGGCTAGGTATTGATCTTGTCTTTTCCCTGATGCTGGCAAATGAATTTTATATTTTGCCACAAAAAAATGCAACCTTCTTTAACTTGCTAGCGACTAGTTTCACTATTTCGTCTTGATACTCAAAGACATTCAAAAGTCCAGGGACACTCGATGAACTTGTATGGATCCCTGTGGCCATGGAAATATAACAAATCTATCTTTACTTCAAAATTTTGGCTTCTCATATATTTCAAGTCACCTCTTCGAGGTAGAGATTTTACATACCAGGAACTCAAATGGTAGACACAATTCATTCCATTCTTTCAATCTAGCAAGTCACCGTTATAGCTACGGGTGACCCATCCGGATTGTTCGAAGGAGGCAAGTAGTTGTTGTAGTTGGCGGATTTCCCACTACATATCCTCCTTAGAAATCCCCTGGACACCTCTTTGTGAATTTCTCTAAACGGCATTGTGTCCATTCCCTTCGATCAGGCTTCCGACGATTATCTCTTTGGCGACATAACTATGTTTTGAGTGTGGGTATATGGAAGGAAAGTAATAGTGATTTAGGGCGAGAAAGAAAAAATTAAGGTGTGGATAGGGTTGGATATTAGTGGATGCTAAAAGCTCTAAGAAAAGACAGGGATTATGCTAGTTATGTTACCAATGATGTCGGAGTTGAACCAAAAATCATAATAGGATGATAATTTTGTTGCTAAAATTCAAAGGGGTTAAAAGCAAGACACTTAAAAATAAAAGAACAATGACATAAACACCAAACTCTCTATGGTGAAGATTGACAATGCTGGGTTGTTGTCAAGTTAGTGGAAATGGAGAACTACCGGTGATAGGGAGGGTTTGTGGTAGCGAGGGGAATGTGGATTGGCGACTAGACAGTGAACAAAAGGTTGATGGAGTGTGCGGAAACAGGCCGAGGAAGTGGTGTGGCGGTTAGACAGCAGGTAGGGGGCTGCGGCAATGTGTAGCAGCTGACAACGGGGCAACAACAAACAGAGGGTGTTGGGTAGGAAGGTGGAGGTGGTGGAGAGTGCAACAACAAGCCGAAATTGGATTGGGACGGCGGACAACAAGCAAGGGATTGCGAGAGGGAGCAAAAGCAAGCAACGACGATTGTAAGGTAGTAAACTGTAGAAAGAAATAGTAGGACAGCTGTTCCGGGCAACTAGAGTAGGGACAGAGTGGCCAGGAGTGACGTGGGAGGATGTGGGAGGGGATAAAAGAAGATAATCACCATCTCGGGAGAGATGCAACTAGAGCACCACCCAACCCCTCGGATATAGCACTAGAAGAGATAATGCACACCGACGATTGCCCTAAACAAAACAAACAAAAAACTGAAAAACCTAAACAATTGAATCACATAAAGCCATAGATAACTAAAATTGGATCCCCTTATAGAAAAGAGGAAACAAACCCACGTGGAAGAGCTAATCGTCCCCCTGTACTTGGACAAAATCGGTCTAGACGAGCGAAATTTCAGGAGCAGCTCCCTATTACACCGCTAGAAGTTGTGGTTATCCTTCGCATCAGCATCATTAAATATGACGCATGATCACTTGCACACCAGCCACCCGCCTCGCACGATCCCATGATGGCGAGATCAAAGCGGGAGAGAATCCCATCCCGCTACAATCCTAATAGCGAGATTTTTGCAAACAGAACGTCACCGGATTGGGGGATTCTATAATCCCATGAAATCCAAATCTCCCATCAAGTTTGCAACTTCAACATAGATTTTTGCCTTTTCTAGCTTATTTCCTATATTTTTTTTTATTTCTAATTAGGGTTATTTTCTATTAGAAGACTATTTATATGTTACCATTTTTATGTTTTTGAATACTTCTTTTATTATTATGTTTGGAAATTTTGTTCCTTGTTTTATGCTCTCTAAAGCGTTGTATCTTATTCCTTTTGCAAATGGTGCATCAGTATCTTGCTCAAGAATAGTAATGGATCCTCCTTACCCTACGTTGCTCACCTTTTCACCATTGACCCTCTGTCTTCAACCACACAACCATGAACTATGCTGAATCTGTTGTCCAACAACAGATTTCTACAACCCCCCTAACCCATTCTCTAACCTTACCATGTTCAAATAGTCACCCTAGTTCGGTCATCACCTAAATCTTCTGTCCAACAATAGATTAAGCCTCATAGCCCATCCAAATGTCGTGATAACTCATATTTTCCACTTCATTGGCTATTTCACAACCACTTCCCTACTAAATCTTCTTTCGAAATAACTTATACGAGCCTTAGAATGATGTCATTAAATATCAAGGCTCAACAAATCCTAAATGTTTAGGTTTGTCTTTCTTGCACCAAATCAAAATTCCAAATAACCTAACCTAATATCCCCACAAACAAAAAACGCCACCATATCTACTGCAATTCATAGAACTAACCTAAATTTTCATAAGTCAAACTTCCTATCTCCATTAGAAAAGCACCCTGACTCCTAAAACCGAAACTTAAGTCCCCAGCAAACATTTGATTTGCAATCCTATTTTTGCTCAAAACCCCAATCAGAATAAAATAACAAAATGTCGCATAGAAGAAACATTCAAAGTGATCTCTAGGAAGCTATGCTACATTTGAGGAATCTTCACCGTTTGGCGGAGCTCCTTTAAACGTGACGTTGCGGACTAGTGGTCGACATCTGTTTTTTACAACATCAAAATAATGCCAATTTAGGGGACGAGCGTCGGCCAACGCTCGCGAAAAAACATTTCACCAAACTACAGTCGCGGTTTACCGCCTTCCCTCTGATGCGATGGAGTTGGGATGCTGCTCCAATTGTAGCCTTACTATAAAGGATATACAATGAAAAATCCCTCATCTGCAAAAAAGATTGCCTTCTTTGAGAGGAGACAATCCGAGAGGTCACCCATAGCCACAATAGTGACTTACCAAATTAAGAGGAGCAAATGAATCTCTTTTATCAAGCAATTTTTAGCGATGAAAAACCAATACTCGACGAATTGGCTTTGAAGATGAAAAAAAACAAAATCATCAAGAGACCTCCACATCTTACAGACAGTAAGAGTACAACCATTAGAGCATCCAAACCAAATCTCGCCCGAGGAAAAAACTCATAAAGTGGAAAAAAGATGGAGACCACCAGCACTCTCAAATCCATCTCAATCAGGAAATACTTCAAGTGTCATAATATTTATCATATTACTTCTAAAAAATGAGCAATGACATAGGAGAGAGTAAAGAGTAACAAAGGGGTATCAATGTCCAACCAACGAGGGAGAGATGCTAGTGATTCGATGGGCCTTTCAGGGTGGACCCATAAGAAAGATGTCAACAGGAATAGCATTGATTATTCTAGAAGATAGTAAGTCCGAGGAACTGATAAAAAAAAAGGGGCAGCCCTTCTTAAGAAAGTTGTCAGATATTATGACTGACAGTTTACCCATTGAGTGATATTTAACATGTCGTAGATCTCATTCTAAGATTTATTGTTAAACCAACCCGTGTAAGAGGTGCGACAAGTTGGTTATGTTAAGTTGCAAAAACATGTTACATACTTGATGGTTAGAGACCTAGTTCATGAGTAAAACTCCAGTACCGATTATGTTAAAGAATGATGGATATTTATTCTCTCATAAGAGAATTTAGAGTAATATGTGTTTAAGGATCAATCTTCCTTATATTCTGATTTAAGGATCACAACCAGAATGTACTTACCTGTCATCACAATCACATATTGTTGAAAGAGTGCAACATGATTGGCCAACTCATTACAGTTTTTCTTGAGATGTCAACATCTCGGCTTTACCCTGCCTTCTTATAGAAATATCCAGAATCGATAACAGTTTCTAATGACCACATGTACATCATGCACCAAAGCCACCAAAGTTCTTCCAATAGAAGGGTTTTAATACCAAAAAAGTTGATTTGTTAGCACTGACAGAGGCAATGCTTCCTTGAATTCTCTCTTTTTCTCTCTCCCTTAGATATGTATTCCAAGCATATTTATCAAAGAAACTGTAAATTCTACAAATTAGAATATATAGTTTCTGCTTATTTTAGCAAAAACCATACAGCAATATGTATTAAAGACTGCACCTAGTTATATAACTTAGTGTATACAAAATAAATACTATAGGCGTAAAAAATTTGAGTATGCATGGCAATCACTAATGGATTTTTTGTAAGGTTTACCGAGTATGATGCCGTCAGAAAACAATTCAAAATTTGCCATGAGTAGCCAACAGCATGAAAAGATAGATCTGTTGCTCCTCCAGAAATAGCTGAGATTATCTGAGAAGAAAAAAACACATCCATTCAAAAAAATACAACAGTACCCTGTCAGCTAACATAAAAAATACAATACGACCCGATTAACACTATCAAGTTAATAGGTCCACGCTTATCAAACAAAAGCCTCAAAAGATTACTCATAACATCTTATGTTCACCATTTACATATAAAGCACAAACTTTAAACCTAAATAACCGACAGAATTTTATGCTAAAGTTCAGTTAATTGTTGAATTTACACGTCGAGTCATACTAGACATGAACTGTAAGCTAAGACGTTGTGGAATTAGTTACAGAGGATTGTTGTCCCTATTTTCTGCAAATCTCACAAACAGTTGAGCACAAATGCATTATAACCATAATGAAGACTCTGCAAGGCAACAAAAATTATATCCTTCATGAAATATACTATGATGAAATACAAGAAAATAAATCAACATTCCTGATAGGAACTTTTTATTATTTAGTATCAAGGTACTGTAACAGAATGTCAAAAACTGTGGATGTCTAAATTGTGAATTTTCATGGAATGGGTGTTGGCTATACGCTAGAGCATCCAACAGAAGGAAAAACAATTGTGAAGGCAAAAATTCCTAAAGCAAAATAAACCAAACGGTCATTCTTCAAAAGTATTTGAGTTAATTTGTGATTTCCTACAAATTTGATGTGTTTTATGCCCAACAGAAACAAGTTTCATGATAGAGACTTTGAGCTAATCATTAATTATTACGCAAATAGTTGGAAAAAACTAATGACGATAACAGTGTGCCTAAGAAAATTTTCATGGAAGTCACATTATTCAATATCCCAGAATTTTACAATGGCAGGAATGGTAATACCATTAAGAGTAGTGCAGTCCAGACTTTGACTCCATGGTGCTTTTTGAAAAGGTATGTTTCGCCAATAGCTGTCATGACATTCGCAATATTCTTAAGAACGGTTACCATGGCAACATTGATGAACTTCAAACTGCACAGAAAACAACAGAGCCAATGAAACAACTAAAGCAAAAGCATTCGTCATCTAAAAGTGGAAGTATTTATTTTGGTTGACTACAAAGGACAACCAAAATAAATGATTAGAAGACAAAGATAAGTTAGGCAATTTATATTGATCCATGAGACTCTACTACAAAATAATGATTAATTGCAAAAAAATAACCACACAGTTTGTACCCCATTACACAAGCAAGGAAAAATCACTTAACACACATGTGATATAGGTACCAAAGAACAAGTGTCTGAAACAAAAACTATAACAGCTTTGAAAAATTAAAAAAATGCCGGGATTACCCTTAAACTGAAATTTTATGTATGTTCACAATGAGTAGCAACAGCTTTGAAACTATAAGCAAAAAGCTGTAATCATTCACCATCCATCACACATGCCTTAAGTCTAATTAAGTAAAAGAGTTTATCACAATATTATCTAGAAGGCTCATACCTAAAAATGCTTGTAACAAGCATTCCAACAAATATGGCATTCACAGGAAACCAGATCCGAATTAATCTCCATGTGAGTGGTTCTGTTGAGACCAGGCCAAGTTTGCTCAAAAAAGTAACTATGACCACGGATACAAAGTTCTGCAACAACAAAAAACTGGGAATCTGTAAGTTAGCCACAATGCACTAATATTGACCCACAAATAAAATATGTCCACAAAATCATTTACAAGATATAAGAACATGACCTGGTAAAGCATCAATGATATCCCAGCATTAAAATCGAATCCTGACAGCACATATTTGTTAATGAGTATCATGCTGCATGATGACAGGCAATATGCAAAGCCAGACAGAAGAGCTTGGTTGGGAATCTTTACAGGCCTGCAGCAGTGCAGAACCTTCTCTCTTCTTTTTGGCAAATCACCATCTTCTAAGTCAGAATCATCACCACAACAAGGTCTTGATCCATGAAACGATCTGCAGTAAGTAAAACATTGTTAAAACTGTGCATTTAATTGTAAGTTTTTTTCCATTTATGATGACAGAAATGAAAAAAACAAAAAAATCTACAGGGGCATTTGCTTAGAGAGAAGGGGTTAAACTTCAAATTATTGACGTACATAACACAATCCTAGACCTAAATTTTTTTGGAATAATTTCCACATTTGGGTTAGTCATAATGTAGTAGTTTAATATGAAAAAAAAAATGGATCATAGAATAATATAAGCCAATTATTGTGACCATGTTCGGGGCTTCAACTCATTGTTATTGCTCAAGTGCATGTTTTATAGTGTAGGTTCATATACTAACAAAAACCTTTGAAGATATTTCCATTCAGAGCCAAGTAAATGAATTTATAACCATGAAACCCTTTTAGCATTCAAGAATCTGTAAAATCAATCAAGTGTCATTATAAAACCTAAAAACCTATTGAATTTTTACTCCAATCATAACAAAGAACATAAGACCAAGATCAAGACTTGATCTATTCACTTATGACCCTCAAATAGCAAAGAACTTAAAGCACACCGATTGAGGCTCTACATCATTAGATTCTCTCCATGACCCTTGGATTATAAACCGTGTGCTTTTCTAAAGAATCTCAGGCCATTATTTATTTTTCCCTCCTTTTTGATTTTATTCCTAGTCTATAATGTTTATGGGAGATGTATATATATCTCCCTTCTTGTAGAAAAAAATATGTGAAAATTCTAGAGACTTTTTCTACTGGCTTAATTTTTACATGGTATAGGAATAAAGTTAAGGCATGGGCATTCCTTCACGCTTTTTTTTTTATTCTCTAAGGTTAGAGTTTCCACTTTCAACCTTTATTTTATTCTGTCGAGGCTCTTTGACATCCCTTCAAAAGAACAAACTATGATTAATGGTTAAAATCAGACAAAAGGAGAAATCCATATATTTCAAATATCTTGTCGCTTGAATGAAAAAATTACCTTAAATGATCTTAAATCATAAAATCCTTTCTAAAAGGAAAAAGAACGATCTAACACCTTATAGATTTACCCGTATTTTATATTTTTCTCCCAACAAAAATATGCTATTGACCTCTTGAAAGAAACCAAAATTACAAAGTGCTAGCGGGGTAAGAAAGAAGAAACCCGAGAGTGGGAGCCATAGGGTCGAGAGATGCAGAAGAAACGCAAGAGAGGGATGCGGGGGTAATATGCACGCGAAGAAATGCGGGTCGCAGGGTCGACCCCGCGGCCGCATTTTAACATAGATTATTTAGGAGAGTCACTGTGCAGTTATTTCCAAAAGGATGGAACAACGTTTTCAAAACGTACCGGGCCAAAAAAGCTGCACCAAACGGGCCCTATGTTAGCCAATTATTTTAAAATTGGTTGCTATAAATAATAATTTTTAATATTGTATAAGTTGAGTTGATAATTAAAAAGGGTTGATGGCAGTTCTTTTTTTTTTTTGTTAAAGGAAGCTAAGAGATGGTAACAAGCATAGTATCATAAACATTTTGGGATGTGTCGGTCAACTTTTTGATAGATTTGAAAATATGGTATATGAAAAATAATTTTTGAAATTTAATTTAATATAATAGATATATAGTTTGGGTTTTGAAAGTAGTATGTTTTAATTTTCGAAAAAAATGAGAAAAAAATGAGAACAAATGGATCTCATTTGTCCAATAGTTTGCATAATTGTGTCTGATACCGCGACTACTAATCGCTGCCGATACCGCGAATACTACACCCTCCCGAAAGATAAGTGTAGATCTCCGAGATAGACCCAATCCTGCAAACTAAGAGATTTGTGACATCCGTTTGGTCTGCGAGCCTTTTATGTGTGACCGACAAGTTCCCCTATTTTATACAAAGATTATATAACCTGGGTTCCAAGTTCCCTATAGAGGCAAGCCCCTATAGTTAATTACATCCCAAATGACGGAAGTCACTTGAGAAAACTCTCGATAATGATCAATGGTTCTAGTCTTCAAGAATTCAAAGTTTAGGTTTTCAAGGTAGGACATGGCAAAAGGCAAGTGAGAGTGGCTCAAATAGGAACTTTATTTTCAAGGGTCCAAAGGAAGGAAAAGGTAGGGGATGTCACAGATCCTGAGGAGAACCCTCAGTGGCTTCCCAGACTTTCCTACTATGGGGCTGTATTTTTAGAGATGATGTTATTTGAATGTTTAATCCTGCCAATTTTATTATTTGGGACTTACGAATGCATAATACTCGATTATGCAAATAGCCCGCAGAAATAAGAGGGTTTACGTCGTGTCACACGACAACCTCGGAACCTAAGGCGGGTTAGGACTTACGCTAAACAACATGGTTGCACAGGTGCCTAAAAAGGGAGTGTGGGGATTTACGTCGCGCTAGGCGAGCTACCTCGATATCCTATGGGTTGTTATTATGCTAGGAAGAGATAATGCTGAAGAAGATCCTCTTGCTGCTCGGTCTGAATTCATCGCCGTGCTACTCACAAAGTTGGCTCCAAGCTCCTGTCGTCACGAAGGCTCCAAGGTTAAAGTGTTTGAGATTAATAGTTTATGTTTCACAGTTTTGGTGTCAATGTTTGGTTTTGTTTTGTTTCGGTTTTGGTTCTGATTTTGCATGCAGAATAAGCAAATCGTAGGTAAATAAAATGTACTTGAAAGGTAAAATGCAGTAAAGTAAAATGTTGTAGATAAACTGTAAAAGCGTACCTGGGCATCTGCTACTGTTGCATTATTAATGCTGCGGGCGTATCATGATTTGCAACATATTTAAACATACTTGCGAAAATAAATAAATAAATAAATAAAAAAAAAAAAGCAAGACAACACAACATGAAAGTTCTAAAAAAAAAGTAGTGGAAATCACTAGCAAAAGAAACCTATAACCACATGAAAGATCAGGACTGGGAATTAGACGTTGGTCAAAGTGGGGGCTCAGAGCTGGGCTGTGTGCTTCCCGACCTTGAACAGGAGTTACCGACCCAACAATCTACAGAAGGTAGTTCTTAACCTCAATCCAAGTGACTAGCCGTGGACCTTTATAAATTTTCATAGAAAGGTTTTCATGCAAAAGTTGTTCAAGTCTTTTTTTATGTAGAGTTCTTTTTAACATGCAAAATAAATTTTTATTTTATTTTTGTAAATATTTTGTAAAGTGGTACAGTCCACAGACTAGTCACTCTAATTGTGCTAGAACTACTGATAACCTAAGAGTGTCGGGGGCAACGATCCCACCAAGAATCAACGAATAATATCATAGGTTCTTCCCTCTCCCTTATTGAAGATCCTTGAGGTAGGAGATATTATTCTAATAATCTAACCTCGTATCCTTCGTTTAAGACACATAAGCAATGTCGTCATCGCCCTCGCCACTTAGACCCTAGACTTATCCTAGTCCGATGATCCATATGTGGCATTAAGAAATTTTCCCAATTGCCAGGAGAATTTGAGTGTAATATTCAAGCTCAAATCCCGTTGCATTGGGTTTTATTGTAGGTTAAGTCATTATGAGAATTTCACTGTTGATTTAATTAAGGAAACATGAACTACGTCTCGGTGCATCATGGTGTCTAGTGTCTTGATCAGTTTGTAAATCAGGGTCAAGTGTCAAGTTTCATTTTTTATTCAAAAATTAGGTGGATGAACGCTCACCTAGGGTGTGCTCCTAAAATCTAAGAAGCCTAAGAAACCTATGCTGAGAATTAGGTGGATGGACTCTCACCTAGGGTGTGCTCCTAAAATCTAGGAAGTATATGCTGAGAATTAGGTGGATGGACTCTCACCTAGGGCGTGTTCTTAAAATCTAGAAGCCTATGCTGAGAATTAAGTGGATGGACTCTTACTTAAGATATGCTCCTAAAATCTAGGAAGACTATGTTGAGGATTAGGTGAATGGACTCTCACCTAGGGTGTGCTCCTAAAATCCAGGAGGTCTATGCCGGGGATTAGGTGGATGGACTCTCACCTACGGTTTGCTCCTAAAATCAGTGTCTAAAATGATGTTCTACCCCCAATTAAGTGTTCTCCAAATAATTAAATCAGAAATTCTCATTTTTTTACTTGACCATGTAACAAAAATACAAAAACAAACAAAAAGAAAAGGTTGATCCACTTTCAAAACTAAAAAAAATCAAAAGAGAAAATACCAAGTGAATCAACCTAAAAAACGTTTAAAATCTTTCAACAACTGTAATTAAATAGACTCTCGAGAAGAGTGCTTAGGTTTGTTCCAAAACAGTGCACAAAATCAGCCCGAATCGACACGTAAAGTGACTCCAAAACAGCGATCAAAATCAGCCCAAATCAGCACCTATAGTGGCTCCAAAACAGTGCATAAAATCAGTTCAAATTGGCACCTAAAATGGTTCCAAAACAATGCATTAAAATCATACCTTAAATTCGCCTCAAAACATTGTGTAAGCCTCTCTAAATCAACAAGCAAAAACACCCCAAAACAGTGTCGAAATTGCTCCAAAGTGTCGAAATTGCTATTTCCAAAACAGCATATAAATCCTAAGAATGAAAAGATACATTTCACATTAATCCTAAGTCCTAAGAACGAAACGATACATTTCACATTAAGAAATAGAAATACCTCTTACGTAGAATTAAAGATCAGAGTGGTGTAACTATAAAGCTTAGGTTCCACATATGCAGAGAATATAAGCATTGTATGGTATGTACGTAAAAATTGAAGCTAATATGATAGATATGCAAACACATAGCAATTGAGTGGCGTGTATGTAAAACAAAGCTTAGGTATTAGGCATACAAGTACATATAATTGACATACAAGTTGATTCCAAGACTTAGGTGTTGGATATGTAAATACATGAGGGTTATATGATATGTATATAAATTTCCCGTAATTGAAATATTTAAATCCTGTGTAGATCCTCTCAAATAAAAATCAATTTTATAAGAATTGGTCGGAATTGGTGATGCCAAAAAACTACAGTGCAAACACTTGTTCGTATTGTAAAAATAGCAATGATTTTATTT